AGAAGGATGACAAAGATGGATGGTACCGAGACCAAAACAACAACCTGATATTGCCTGCCATCCTGGGTCGTCGCCTGTGTGAACACCTGCATACAACCACACACTTGGGAGAAAGAAAGACCCTAACACTTCTCCAGATGGCCTGCCTGAGGTTCCCTCGACAAAATGCAACTGTACGAGAGATAATTCAGGCTTGCAAAGCGTGCCAGCTGATGAGGGCAGAGAAGAAGCAGCACATGGGAACGAGGTACCAAGGGAAAGAGCCAGGGCAACACTGGGAGATAGATTTCACTGATGTAAGACCAGGCAAGTACGGGTATCGCTATCTGTTGGTTCTGGTAGATACCTTCTCGGGGTGGGTGGAAGCTTTCCCCACTAAGGGAGAGACAGCAACAGTGGTTGCTAAAAAGATCTTAGAGGAAATAGTGCCTAGGTACGGGCTGCCAGTGACTATGGGCTCTGATAACGGACCTGCCTTTGTGAGCCAGATTGTACAAGGGCTGGCCCGAGCTCTGGGGACGAAATGGAAGTTACATTGCGAATATAATCCCCAGAGCTCAGGGCAGGTCGAGAAAATGAATCGGACCCTAAAAGAAACTTTGATTAAGTTGGCAATAGAGACGGGCAGGGACTGGGTGACCCTTCTTCCCTTCACACTCTTTCGGGCACATAACAGCCCTTATAAGCTGAATCTTACCCCTTTTGAGATTCTGTATGGAAGACCCCCTCCTGTGTGTCCTATTTTCAAAGGAAAATGCCTGCCACCCCCTACTTTGGGACAATTTCAGCAAACCCTGATGGCATTAAGTAAGGTACATAACCATGTTTGGAAATTGATTCAAGAGATATACGAGGGCCAAAATAAGGGGGCCATCCCCTCACATAACATTGGCCCAGGTGATTGGGTTTGGGTAAAACGGCACCAATCTAAGGTATTAGAGCCTAGATGGAAAGGCCCTTATGTTGCTCTCCTTACCACTCCTACCGCTGTCAAGGTCGACGAGATTAGACCCTGGGTTCACTGCAATCACGTGTGGCAAGCCACACCAGAAGAACAGGAAAAAGCGCGAGCAGAATGGAAGGTGAGTCCTCACCCGTCGAATCCTTTGAAACTGAAACTCGCCCGCCGGGAGGCCTCCTAATTCTCCTGCTGATGGAAGCTCTCATAGACCCAGGAGCGACCAGTCACAACCCCCATCAACCTGCTAAGATCACCTGGAAACTCAACGATGGGCAGACTCATGAGCTGCTCAACAAGACCTCAGGAATCCACCCTCCTAACACCTGGTAGCCAAATCTATATTTTGACCTCAGGAGACTCTTTGGTACTGGGGCAAGGTGGCATGGGGGGCGAGAACACAACTACCATGTGTTACAGAAATGGGCGCTTATTAACACAGACCAGGGATGGTCAGCAGAGGGGTTCTGGGCTTGCCCAGGCAACATAAGAAATAATTGGAAAACCTGTGGTGGCTTGGAAAACTACTATTGCAGGGATTGAAGTTGTGTGACCTCTTGTGATGGACCCCGAAAATGGGACGTAGGAAATCGGGATTTGGTCAATTTTACCTTCCGAGACCCCAAAAACCGGGTACCTCAGGTACGAGTACAGTTTAACCAGGAAAGGGTGAAGAAAGAAAACAGGTGGACCTCCGGATTGACTTGGGGACTTCAGCTTCATGTTAGTTGGCCTGGTCCCTATCCTGGTGGGTTATTAATCTTAAAACAGGTTGTTGAGCCGGTCCAGGTACATAGTTTGGGTCGCAATCTGGTCAAAACATCACAAGGGCACAAGGGGTGCAAGGCAACCCCCAAGCCAACCACCTCCAGACCAAGCTCGCCAGGAACATTTAACATCTCCTCTACCCCGAGCCTCAGAGACAAACTGACGGAAACCCCTGGCCCTCTGGCTGTTACCATTAGCTCAGCAATTCAGGACCCCCTATGGGCCTTAGTGAATGCAGCCTTTACGGTCTTAAACCATACCAACCCTAGTGCGACCCAATCCTGCTGGCTTTGTTATAATCTTCACCCCCCCTTCTATGAGGCCATAGGCCTCAATGTCTCTTACCACTTGTCTTCAGGCCAGAACCCACGCCAATGCCGATGGGAAGAACGCAAGGTTGGCCTCTCAATGAATGAAGTTTGGGGACAGGGACTCTGTTTGGGCACAGTGCCACGTGATAAAACTCCCCTCTGTGCCCGGACTATTAGTAACCTACGCTTACACGGCAAAACTTGGATTGCGCCAGAGGCTGGGGGTTGGTGGATTTGCTCACATACTGGGCTAACCCCATGTTTGAATGTGAAGGTTTTTAACCAGAGTCAAGAATTCTGTGTCCTGGTTGCTGTAATGCCAAAAATCTTATACCACTCTGAAGAGGTTATGTACTCACATTGGGACCAGGAAATGCTAAGACAAAAGAGAGAGCCAGTCAGTGCGATCACCATGGCAGCCTTGTTCAGTCTTGGGCTGGCAGGAACAGGGACAGGAATAGCTTCACTATCTCTGCAAGGCCAAGGGTTTTCCTCCCTACGAGCCGCTATAGATGAGGATCTAACTCGCATAGAAGAATCAATCAGCCACTTAGAGTAGTCTCTGACTTCCTTGTCTGAGGTGGTCTTGCAGAATAGGAGATTAGACTTGATTTTTCTCCAACAGGGTGGGGTCTGCGCGGCTCTGGGAGAAGAATGTTGTTTCTCTGCAGACCATACAGGAGTGGTAAGAGAATCTATGGCAAAAGTGAGAGAGGGACTGGCGCAACGCAAGAGGGAACGGGAGGCCCAGCAGGGATGGGTTGAGTCTTGGTTTCAACGCTCCCCCTGGCTGACCACCTTAGTTTCCACCCTCCTGGGCCCACTTATAGTGCTATTATTAACACTCACGTTTGACCCTTGTATTTTAAACCGGCTAATGTCATTTATTAAAAAACGTCTAAATACCTTCAGATTATGGTATTGAGGCAACAATATCAGATGGTAGCCCAAGATGAAGAGAAAGATTCCTCTACAGAAACAAGATAGGGGGGAATGTGAAGCTGCCAGGGCTAACACCATGACAGGCAGCCTGGACCTAAGTTTCAGCTTCCCCAAAATGGTAAGATTCCCTACCCCCATCTGGCCACCTGGAGCCAGCCAATCAATATGCGCCCAGTAAGAAAAAGGAAATCTATCGGAGAAAGCTGAAAAGCCCGTGAACGCCCAAGTTTGAAAAAAGCCTGTGAAAGTTTGGACCAATAAAATTGTTTGGCAAACATGTAACCAATCCGCTTAAGCCAGCTACCAACTGCTTATGCTCACCCTATAAATGTGTGTAACAGCTCGGACTCGGGGCTCTCTGACCCCGCACCACTGCGTTGGAGGCGGCAGGAGCCCTGACTCGAGTCAGCAATAAACTTCCCTTTTTGAGAGTTGCATTGTCTTGGAAGCCTTCTCTCTTCCCGCTCAGGGATTTGGACATCGGGCATAACAATCTCATCATACTAGGACCAAAGGGGAACCTCCAGTGAGCTCCTGTGGGGGATGGATTCGGAGGAAATTACTCTGATGGATGATGGTGAGGTCCAGGCACACCTGTGGAAAGCCAGCACTGAAAACAGGAGGAAGAAATAATAAGGCAGAATCACAAGACAAAGTGCAGAGTGAAAAAGACGCCTTTACAAAAAAGAAGAGCTTCTGTAAAAATGATATCAAACAAGTGGTTACCGAAGGGAAAACCACAGTCCATTTAGTGTGCCACAGAGCCATCCCATCTGCTCAGGAGGTCCTGCAGCTCATCCTCCAGGCCAGAAGGGCGCTTGCAGCATCCTCATGTCCTCAGGGTTTGGCTGGAGGGCTTGGAGAGCTGGGGAAGTTACACGCCTCGCTCCGGGTGCCTCCGCAGGAAAAAACAAACCCAAGTATCTCTCCTGTCCTCGTTTCTATCAATTCAGCCAAGCTCGATCCCCAGAAAGGGGCTTATCTGAGCGCAGAAACATTCAACTCTTGGTTCAGGTCAGAGGCAGAGGTGACCTCTTTGCCTAAGGGACTGAAGCAGAAAAGTTCAGCCAGGTGATGTTACCGAACCTGAGATTAGCCTGCTGGCCACATAACAGGCCAATAATAAGGAGACAAGGTATAGAGGTGAGGAATAGAGACTTTATTCAGAAAGCTGGACATTCAAGAAGATGGTGAACTAATGTCCTAGAGTACTGTCTTATTAGAGACTGGATGCCTGTTTCTTTTGTAGGACAGAGATGGGGAGGGGGGAGGAAGTAAAATAAATAAATATTGCCAAGTGTCTCCTGGCTTGGTCAGCTTTTGGGGAGGGGATGTGTCCATTCCTGCAACCATTCACTGGTGGGCAGGGGCAGGGTGTTTCCCAGTGAGCTGAACAAAGACACCATAGTTTAACTTTCAGGCAGAGGGGCAGGTTCCCCAAGGCAGGCCATTGTGTATGCTTATAGCTACACACAGCATTCTTTTGGTGATTATAGTAACAAAAGCATTGGAGAACAAAGGTTAAATTAAAAGAAACAGATCCAGTCGGGGGTCAGATGTTGCTCTTCCTTGTTCTGGTGATAGCTAATGATCCTCGGGGGGAAAAAAAACGCTTGACTCTCAGGACCAGATCCGGGAGTGGGGAGAAAGAGCTCACTCATAGTAGAGAGAAAGCCCAGACACTGCCTATTGACTTTACAAACAAAGGGAATTGCCATGTCATTTCTAATGACTCTCAACACCACCTCTTATTGAACTGATCCAGAAAAGGTAGTGAGGGACTCAAAGGCACATCACAGAAACCACGACCCAGCAGGAGAAAGGAGCAGCACATCTGGGCTACAGGTCCAGCACTTCCACGGCTTTTGTGGATGAATATTTCATGCTGAACTCCTTTTGTTGTCTTCCCAGGCTGATGAAACCCTGAAACTCTAAAGTAGCTATTGATATGCAGGTCAGTCAACAGTGAAGTCAAATCCGGCCTCTGTACCCTGACATCAAATTAAATCTCAGAGACAGAGTTTTGGGCAAAGTAGAAGAGAATAGCTTTATTGCTTGCCAGGCAAAGGAGGACATAGCAGGCCCTCAGAACCGTATGTCCCAACCTGGAGGGAGTAGTGAGGAGTTTTTATACTAATGGCTCAAAGAGGGTGTGATTGGCTCACGAACATTCTTCTGATTCATTAGTGGTGAGGTAGGTGGGAGTCACCATCATCAACGTTCTGTTTCCAACTAGTCTGGGGTCTGCATACTTGTGGGCAGCCTTCAGTTCATTTCGCCCACCTGCTGGAGGTTTCATCCACCTAGACAGCATATTAAAAAGCAGAGGGTGGGATGATTTGGGAGAATGGCATTGAAACATGTATATTATCATATGTGAAATGAAACACCAGTCCAGGTTTGATGCATGAGACAGGGTGCTCAGGGCTGGTGCACTGGGATGACCCAGAGGGATGGGATGGGGAGGGAGATGGGAGGGGGGGTCAGGATGGGGAACACATGTACACCCGTGGTGGATTCATGTGAATGTATGGCAAAAACCACTACAATATTGTAAAGTAATTAGCCTCCAATTAAAATAAATAAATTTATATTAAAAAATAAAAACCAGAGACATTACTCTGCTGACAAAGGTCCATCTAGTCAAAGCTATGGTTTTTCCAGTGGTCAGGTATGGATGTGAGAGTTGGACCATAAAGAAGGCTGAGCACTGAAGAATTGATACTCTTGAACAGTGGTGCTGGAGAAGATTCTTGAGAGTCCCTTGGACTGCAAGGAGATCCAAGCAGTCAATCCTAAAGGAAATGAGTCCTGAATATTCATTAGAAGGACTGATGCTGAAGCTGAAACTCCAATACTTTGGCCACCTGATTCAAGGAACTGACTCATTGGAAAAACTGACTCCTGATGCTGGGAAAGGTTGAAGGCAGGAAGAAAAGGGGACAACAGAAGATGAGATGGTTGGATGGCATCACTGACTCAATGGACATGAGTTTGAGCAAGCTCCGGTAGTTGGTGATAGACAGGGACACCGGGCATGCTGCGTCCATGGGGTTGCAGAGTTGGGCATGACTAAGCGACTGAACTGAACTGGTGGGGGTTCAGTACCTGCAAAAGAGCTCCAAGATATTGTTATGTGTCTGCCTTGAGGGAGAACCAGGACCCTGCCTCACTATTGTTTCTTGGCTGCTCCTCCCTCATCTCTGCATCCCTCCCTTCCATAATCAGCAACTGTTTGAACCTGTCCTTTGAAACTTGGGGAAGGCCATGGAAGCTGAAAAAAGTATATTTCCTGTAATCCAGAAACAGGGGACACAGAAAGGATTTTGTGCCCAGGAGCCCCACAAGGTCCTACTCGGCTTCAGAGAACTGCAAAAGGCACAATGACAGCAAGCAAATCTGAGTCCATGTATCAATATATCACTGATACTTAATAAATCAAGACTGACTTGAACAAGCTCTGTCTTAGATCCATAGCTTAACAGAGGCCTCGGCTGTGTGACCAGAAATCATCGTCACTCGTTTAAACATACACAGAGGCTTGCTTAGTACAAATTGCACGCATGTTAAAAACACTAGGAAAACATTCACGAAAATCCAAACGGCTATTGGTCAGGGAAAGGCTATTCTCAAAATGCAAGTGACATTTTGAAGAACTAAATTGAACGTGGTCTTTGTTTTCTGAGGATATATATTAGTTTGTTTATGCTTCTCTCTCAAAGGAGAGGACTTCCCAAGGGGCACCAGTGGTAAAGAAGGCATCTGCCAACGCAGGAGACATGGAGACTAGGCTTGGATCCCTGTTGTGGGGAAGATCATCTGGAGGGCACTGGCAACCCACTCCAGTGTTCTTGCCTGGAAAATCCCAAGGTCAGAGGAGCCTGGCGGGCTGCAGTCCGTAGGGTCGCAAACAGTCAGACACGACTGTAACAACTCAGTACACATACATAAGGGAAGAACCAGTAGGATGAGGGATGGCATCTGTTGAGCAAATCCAGTCCTCCCTGCAGCAAACTTGCAAGGAAAACAGTATTATTCCCGGGATAGTAAGAAGCTTTCTAAAACTGACCTATGCACATACAACTAGTAAGTGTGAAAAATCAAAATTTGAACCCAAAAATATGAAAAAAGTATACATGTATAATGTTGCTGTACAGTAGAAATTAACACAATATTATAAATCAACTATACTTCAATTTTTTAAAAATTTGAACCCACTATGGCAATCGAGATGAAGAGTCCAGGGGTCTCCTCCTAAATCATCTGGCTCTCATGCATTCACTCTCATATGTGACCTTACACGGTGCCCCCTACTGTGTGAGGTCCCATATGAAAATACTTAGAGAGCTGAGAATATCAGACCACCATACCTGCCTCCTGAGAACCCTGTATGCAGGTCAAGAAGCAACAGTTATAACTGGATATGGAACAACAGACTGGTTCAAACTGGGAAAGAAGAACATCAAGGCTGTATATTGTCACACTACTTATTTAACTTTTATGCAGAGTACATCACGTGAAATGCCAGGCTGGATGAAGCACAAGTTGGAATCAAGATTTCCAGGAGAAATAGCAATAACCTCAGATATGCAGATGACACCACCCCAATGACAGAAAGTGAAGAGGAAGTAAAGAGCCTCTTGATGAAGGTGAAAGAGGAGATGAAAAAGCTGGCTTAAAATTCAGCTTTCAAAAAAAGAAGATCATGGCATCTGGTCCTATCACTTCATGGAAAATAGATGGGGGAAAAATGGAAATAGTGACAGACTTTATTTTCTTCAGCTCCAAAATCACTGCAGATGGTGACTGCAGCCATGAAATTAAAAGATGCTTTCTCTTTGGAATAAAAGCTGTGAGAAACCTAGACAACATATTAAAAAGCAGAGACATCCCATTGCCAACAAAGGTCCCTATAGTCAAAGCTATGGTTTTTCCAGTAGTCATGTATGGATGTGAGAGTTGGACCATAAACATCGCTGAGTGCTGAAGAATTGATGCTTTCTAACTGTGGTACTGGAGAAGATTCTTGAGAGTCCCTTGCACAACAAGGAGATCAAACCAGTCAGTCCTAAAGGAAATCAACCCTAAATATTCATTGGCAGAACTATTCTGTAGCTGAAGCTCCAGTATTTTGGCCAACTGATGTGAAGAGCCAACTCATTGGAAAAGACCTGATGCTGAGAAAGATTGAAGCAGGAGGAGAAGGAGATGACAGAGAATGAGGTGGTTGGGTGGCATCATCGATTCAATGGACATGAGTTTGAGCACACTCTGGGAGACAGTGAAAGACAGGGAAGCCTGGTGTGCTGCAGTCCATGGGTTTGCAAACAGTCAGACACCCCTGAGCAATGAACAGCAACAACCCAGTAGGGGACTCTGGAAGTAAACAGCTTCTTCCTAAGAAAAGTGCATGATAATACAGTGAACTTTCAATCACAAGCAAGAAGTCTAAAAGATACCAATTTTATGTCTAAAACTGGATTTACTGTATATTAGTTGAAAACCATAGAATAAAATTAATCAATACCTCCTCATCTTTTGTCAAGCTAGTATGGGGTCAAGTGGGCAGGCTGAATAAGTTTTTTTAGAGAAACCTAAGTGGGCTTGGCATAACTGACCCTACATATGCCCAAACAATGTGTTCTAGAGGTGAAAGCAAGAGTCACTTAGCTTTGTGGGAAAGGGTCTTTGCTTCCCCTGAGTCCTGAGGTAGATTTATTAGGCACAGGATAACACAGGAGGTATAACACCGTTCCAGCTCTACCCGGCCCCCGGCCGTATGCTTCATTTTTCTGCCTTCCAAAGCTCCCTTAAGCCTGCAGGGGGAGGGGAAGTGCAAGAAAACACTGTGCTAGCAACATGGAGGGCCTTCTGCTTCAGCCAAGTCCAGGACTGCATGATCCCACCCTCCCCAGACTGTTTCTTTGCTGGTCACAGGTCTTGGGCAGCCCAGAGAGCCTTTCGTGGTCCAGCCAGATGACCTTCTCAGCATTCTGAGTTGGGGCAGGGTGGTGGGGGGGGGAGTAGTAGGGAGGTGGGCAGGGGGATGGGGCTCTATGCTGTTCTTTAGAACAGGCAGAATTCATCCAAAAGGGTACTAACAAGATCCCCCACTCTCTCCTGTCTCTAGCTAGGACAGCTTAAATTTGAAGGAACAAAGTAAGAATGTTTTCACTGTCAGCTTAAAAACATCCTTATAAACAAATTTTCAGGAAAGTAGTCAAAATGTGCCTGAACCCAATCACTGGTTTAACAATGGTATTAAGTGATTACAGAAAAAATAACTTGACTATAGCTTTGCACCATCTGGGAGAAGAGTCAAAGCAACTCCACCGTGTTCATTCCAGGGTAAGGGGAAGCGGCAGGGGGCAGTGGCTTTCCTGAGTTCCCTGGGGTGCAGCTCAGAGCCATCCTGCCGAGCACCCACTGATGGCGCCGCTGGGGTCCATGCAGTACCTGCAGAGCCACAGATTTCTGCCTCCAGATCTTCTGAGTCAACACAAGAGAGGGCTTTGGAAACACAGGCCTCAAGTCCAGTGTTTACAGAGCTTTCCTGAAAAATCCTTCCAGGATATGTCAACAACCATTTGAACAGAGAAAATTCTAGGGAGTCATTTTCATTGTTCACAAGAGATGGTCCCCGCTGTAGGGTGAACCTGAATTTATATAACCAGGAGCTGCCTCTCCATCTTGGCAAAAACTCAGAGAACTGAGAGAAACATCTTACAGCAAAACATCAGTACTGTTTTGGGGAGTAGATCATTTTAGGAATGCCATGTCTTTGAGGTTGCAATGCATGAAACGCACCATCCCAAGTATTTGGGGGAAGATAACCTCATACAGAGGAACAAGTGCTCATTCTCCTGGATCCGTTCACTGAGTGGTGTCTCTTGAGGGATAGTCTTGAGCATCTCAATCAAGAGTGGGAAGGACAACTCATCTCGGTATCCACAGTACTTAGCAAGGTGCTGATACACAGTAGGTACTAGAAAAAGGTAAATGAATGAATGAATGGCTATACAACCTAAAGTTTGGTTTCCCCATCTGTAAACTGAGGGCGGTAAACACGGGACCTGTCCATTTCACACTGCTCTCTAACTCAACTTCATGTGCCCAACACACAGCGAGGACAGAGGACACCAAACATTGGAGTTTGGAGCAGAGAAAGGCTCCCTGCAGGGCCGTCCAAGGAGAACAAGTGGCTCACGCCCCCCCCCAAAACCCTGAGCTCCCCAAAGGGTTTCAGCAGTGTCTTTTAGGGCAAATTGAGGGAGGGGCATGGTTGGTTATTGCAGACTTCCTG